AAACATGCTCTGGGCAGTCTGTGTGTGTGCTGGGCAGTCTGTGTGTGTGTTGGGCAGGCCTTGAACTGTTCTCTTCTCTTTGTTTTTGTTCCCTTCGATGCTGGTAACCTCCTCCATGATCTTTTCCATGATCTTCGATACTGTTCCTCCATTTTCGGCACTGTTCCTCCATGATCTGGTAGTGGGGTTGCAGGTCTGGCAGTTACTTAATAGTTATCTGATATTTATTTAACTTTATCTCCAACAACCTTAAAGATAACTACCTAAAAATCCTCAATTTCCCATTTTAAATCAAATTCAAACTACCAGATCCAATCTTATCTTCTGCCACCTAAGATCCAACCCTCTTGAAAATCCGTCTGGGCCGTTAAATTGTAAGCCAACCCAGCCCATATCCAGCCTATTGATTTTCTTGATAATTGAGCTTTACCTTGACACGTTGCCTTACCATATTGGTTTATCTTAGGTGTAAACAGTAATTAAGATGTATATCTATTCATATCTAAAGGAAAATTATTGATATACCTTTTAATTTGATACACTTTTGAATGCTCGCTTGATTTAAGTATTAAAATATAATATGTATAAGTACAACTGATTCAATTAATTTTTACATGTTGTATATATGATTGTAATTTTAAATTTATTTATTTTTAGTTTAAATAAAATAATAATATTTTTTTAATAAATTTATTATACAATATCTTGAATCAAAAAGTATATTAATTAATATTAATATCTAAAAGCTTTATTAATATATACAATCAGTGTTTTAGTTTCCAATTAATAAGATAGAGAAGTATTTATTTTAACTTTTTAAAAACAATTATCAATTTTAATTAAACAAAATAAATATTTCATTTTATAAACAAAAAAAAAAAAATCCAAGGTGCATTTGATTCGCACAGTTTGTTCAAATCCTTTTAAACTGGTCAAAATGTTAACATGGACGATTAAATCCTAATTTAATCCCTCAACTACTGTATAAACTCTTAAATTGGTCCTTAAATTAAAAAAATTTTTAGTTTGATCTTTAAAATTTTTTAATTTAACTCTAAATTGATTCCTCTATTAAAATACAATTGATATATCCTTTATTTGACAACAAAAGACAGTTACTTTATTGTTAATTATCATATTAATAATAAAATATATTAATAATAAGACACATTAATTATTTTTAAATAATGAGATCAACTTATAATAAATTTTAAGAATCAATTCAAAGATTCTTTTAATTTTAAAACTTATTAAAAAATCCATATAATAATTGATGAATAAAATAAGAAAGCCTCTCTTCTCTCTCTTTCCCCTTTTCTCTCCCTTCTCTCCTGCTTCTGCCCCTTCTCCAGTGCTGCGTTGGTTTAGCTCGGGAGCCTTTGAGCTTCCGAGATTTTAATGCTTGAGCCGCCAGGCTCCCGGGCCGCTCAAGCATGATGGAGCCGCCCTGTGCTCCCTCCTCCGATAACCCTTTCGGATCTGTCGGCTTTTGGGTCCCTTTCAAGTGAGGGTTTAAATTTGAACTTCACCCCTCCAACTTTTGATTTCTTCAATTGAGTCCTTTCTTTCTCCTCTCACTTTTTCCGTGAAATTTCCCTTTGCTTGCCAACCTAACAATGAAAGTAAAAATCGAACATATTAATGAAGATAAAAACTAAAACAAAAATAAAATTTTAAAAAATTTTGAGTTATGACACATTCCTCCTAAATTTTATATATATCCAATATTATTGGCACATACTTAGGAATATGTATTCAATTGTACTAAAATCTCATTTAAATTGCTTTCTTTTGTAACTTTGATTTGAAAACTTATATTAACATTTCAAAATAGTTTGTAATACAAGTTAAGGAATAGAATAGGAATGGGAAAAAAAAAAAAAGACAAGAAATCAGAAATTATAAAAGGGATAAGAAAAAAAAAGCCATAAAATAAAATTTTGCTAGTTAAGCAATTATAGTAGAAAGAGTTGGTAAAGAATTATAAAAAAAAAAAATTGCTAAATGCTTTTCCTTATTTTTTAATACTTCATGTACATCTTTTATATTAAAAATAACTATATTTTGATTTTTTATTAAAATAATAGTTGATACTTTTAAAGATTATGAATTTGATTAAAAAAGTATTAAAAATAACTTATGAAGATGAAAAAATAATAATAATAGAAATATGAGGTAAAAATTATTTGATTATTAGATTAATAATTAATAAATTTCATATTAAAAAAGGAAAATAAACATGCTACCTCATCCATAAAGAAAATCTATATATCTAACAATAAATAATTTGTATATATTATATAAAATATTACCCTTACAAATTAAATAGGCACTAAATTTTGTCATTTTTGTTTCAATTATAGAAGAAACTTTGTTTTTTTTTTTTTTTAATGAGAAGAAGAAATTTTGTTAAATAATAAGAAAATATTATTTTTAAATTAAAATGCAATAAATGTATTTACTATTCTAACTTTTCATTTTCTTTCTCTTCTCATCTCTTCTTTATCTTTTTATTTATTTTATCATTATTAAGATGAATAAATTTTAGTTTTATAAAGGATAAAATTAAAGAATTACAATGTATATTAATTATTAAATGCATGTTAAGAGCTAAATACATTTATTTGGAGGTAACACTTTATCTTTCATATTAACCTAAAATTAATAATTATTTATTATATCATTTTAATGGGATAATAATTTCATATTTTAAAATGTATTAAATGTATTATAAATAATAATTAATATAACTTAAAACTGAAACTAATGCAAAAAGATTATAATATTCTTAATATGAGAGACATTAATATATATTATAAAAAGAGAGAAAATAAAATGATCTGTAAAAGATTGATTAAAATTAGTAATTTTATAAGTCAAAAAGATACATGATGAAAGAGTCTAACAAATTAAAATAGATATTTAGTTAAAGGAAAAAATATGTTTAGTTGATAAAAATAAAACATGTAAAATAACTAATTTATTAAAAAAATGTATAAAATGTATTTATTAATGAATTTATCATAGACTTTCTCTATGCTAAAATAACTTCTTCTTTTTGTTACTTTTTCTCTAAATTAAGTATTTAAAGACAATTTTTATATTTATTTACAATACCCTTAAAAAAAAAAATAAAAGATAAGAAAAGAGTTTTTGTGATTGGAAATTCAATTAAAATGAATGGATAATAATAAGGACATAAGAAAAAAATATTTATCTATATTAAAAAATAAAAGTAATAATTAATTTAAGACAAATTTAAAATAAAAATATTTATTTCTATTAATAATTTCTTATTACTTAAATCAATTAAAAATTCTTTAATTAAAAAATTATTATAATATTAAATAAGTAGTATAAAAGACATAAAAACAATCCCATGCAACCATATGAATTAAAAATAACTCATTTTAATAAAATTTCACTATAAAACTTTTTAATTTTTCATATAATACTTTATTATTCACTCACCTTTATAATATATGTCACCGGCCAAACAAATCCTTAAATCTTGGAGATGGCTACGAACTAAAGTCAATTTTCAACTGTTTTGACTTTCGGCTAAGAGGAAATAAGTAATCAGAATCGACGATTAGGATCCGTTCTCCGTTTCCATCCACTGTTTCAATCACACAACCATTCGCTGCAAAACTGGGTCTCCCTTCGAAAACCCTATCAAATCTCAAATACCCTCAAAACGCTGAATTCCATTTTCAAGAGCCAAAATTGATCCAAAATTTGGTCTACCAATGGCCTCAGATCGAAGACCCACAAGCATTCTTGATTCTTTAGGAGAAGAAATCATCAGAATCATAACCCCAGTCTCAATCTGCATGCTTATGGTGGTCATTTTGGTCTCTATTCTCAATTCAGATTCATCATCCTCATCTTCGATGACGACGATAGCGACCATGGCATACTCGGAGACAAGCTCAGATTCAGTCTGGGACAAACTGGAAGGTGCCCTTTTGAATTCTCTCGTTTTCGTGGCTGTTGTCACTGCTGTTACTTTCATTTTGGTGCTCCTGTTCTATCTTAGATGCACCAAGTTCTTGAAGTTGTACATGGGTTTCTCGGCTTTTGTTGTTCTGGGGTTTATGGGTGGCGAAATTTCCTTGTTTTTGATTGAGGATTTTGGTATCCCTATTGATTGCATAACCTTTTTGGTGATTCTGTTTAATTTTGCTGTTGTTGGTGTGTTGGCTGTATTCATGTCAAAAATGGCGATTCTAGTGACACAAGGGTATTTAGTGTTCATTGGAGTTCTGGTTGCTTACTGGTTTACTCTTTTACCTGAATGGACTACTTGGGTGCTTTTGGTTGCAATGGCATTATATGATCTTGCTGCAGTTCTTTTACCTGTTGGGCCCCTAAGGCTTTTGGTAGAGCTTGCCATGTCTAGGGATGAAGACATCCCAGCTCTAGTTTATGAGGCTAGGCCTGTGACTCATCATGATTCAGGTTCGAGAGATAATGGGGTTCAAAGGAGGCTTTGGAGAGAAAGGAGGAATGGTCATAATTCAATCCAGAATATTGATTCTGGGACTAACTATAATTCAGAATTGAATAGCAATGTTGTTTCAGAATCAGACTCGACTTTTGCTACAATTGGGAGTGGTCACAATGACAGAAGGTTGGTTAGAGCTGAAGAGGGGCAGATCTCAGAAAGGGATGCTGAGCTTTCTGCTCCATTAATTTATCGTAGAATGACCGAGCAAGATGCCACATCTGGTGAAAACATGCTGCTAGAGGGTATTGGGTTGGGATCATCTGGTGCCATCAAGCTAGGACTGGGGGACTTTATCTTCTACAGTGTGCTAGTTGGTAGGGCAGCAATGTATGATATTATGACGGTCTATGCATGTTATCTTGCCATCGTAGCTGGTCTGGGTATTACACTAATTCTACTGGCATTTTACCAAAAAGCTCTGCCTGCTCTTCCTGTGTCAATTATGCTAGGTGTATCGTTTTATTTCTTGACTCGATTCTTTCTTGAAGTATTTGTCACGCAATGTTCTTTGAACCTTGTAATGTTTTAGAAATGTAATCATTTTATGTTTGGTAATAGAAGATGTCATGCAGTAAATTCATGATAAAACTATAAAATTATTCTTATGAAGTTTGTATAATGTTATGTAAAGCATGAAGTTGGGCCTTTTAATATTGCATTTGAACCTCTCTTCATGGTCTTTGATATTTTGGTTTTAAACTATCCAAGAAAAGATGAAAGAAAATTTTGGTTTTATGAAGAAGAAATAGTACAAGTTGGACCTAATTTGGGCAAAATGAAAGGGGGTGAGTCAACCAGTTAGCATAATTAATTACAAAATGGAAATATCATGCAATAAACTTGGACAAAAGCATGCAGTTGTCAATGTGAGTGCTACCTAACTTCAAGAAGAATTTGTCTCAAGCATGCATTTTAACCTTTAAAAGTTAATTTCAGTCTTGCTTTCATGCATCCTACTGCTTCTGTGTTGCTATTCTTCTTTTTGGGTCGTCAGAGGCTGCTAATTGTGTTTGCGCTAAGATTCTCGTGCGGCACAAGCTTCCAGTTTAATTCTTAGCCAAACAGTCAGAAATCTACTAGCCATAATTAACATTATGGAACAATTAACATTATGATATTATGAATACAATTATGTTACTTAGTCTGTGTATCCCATAACCATTATTCTGTTTCTGTATCCTTTCTAAATCTACATCCAGCCTTGTCAAGTTGAACCAGAATGGAGGATGCTGGATCAAGAATTCCATCAAACAAGCTAAGGGACTAAATAATGCCCCGTTATAACTCCATAAAACATCTATTTGGCAGAAAGTCTTTCCTACTATCAGTGTCCTAATCAAGATATCTTGTTCTGATCACCAGATGAGATATTCATCTTATTATAAATTTTCTTTTGATCGATTTCCTTCTTATAAACGAAATGGAAAAAGATGAAATCCTATCTGAGCTATATTAATATTAATCATATGGTGAGATGGGAAGCAACAAAACTCAGGAAGCGGCTAAGATGTTGGTTTTTAAACTTTTTTCTCCATGTGTATGGCTTGACTGCTTGAGCTACAGTTTTCCATGTTTTAAGAGTTACTTTTGGAACAAATTTTCAGTTTAAGTAATGAAATGTTTAAGGGAGGCGGATGATGCTCAAATTGTTTCCTAAAACACAAGAAAGACTTAATGTTAAAGCTCCCATCTGAATTTATGATTCTGTTTTGACAACCATACTATTTCTAATGACAATCATCTTGTTTGTCATTTTCAGTGGACCATGGAAGCTTACGATTGTATAGTCTTTATCTTCCTAAACCCCAGAACCTTCAAAATTCAAATAGGCATACCTATAGAGTTCGTGATTTCTTGTCTTCCTAGTTTTGGTTGGGATATTTGCTAAACTACAGCAAAGGTTGTGAGGAGCAATGCGCAAATACCTACGGGCCAAATCTCAGATCGCCTGGTTTGGCATTATTCTGTTGATAGCAATTTTACTGTTGGCACTGCCTATCATGTGGCTAGAAATCATGGTTTGGGTTTGTATCCAGCCCTTGAGCAGCATCAACCCAAATTTATAAAAGTTGAAATCAAATAATCAAAGCCACGACCATACTAAACAGAGTATTAGACTTGAAGTTTGCACCTAAACTCCTTATGCAGGCGATGAATAGACAAGGTCATGTTCCTCGGCAGATTGACCCTATTATTCAATCTATATGGATGTTGGTTTGAGCTTTCGAAACTTGTGCTTTTTGTCTGTAGTCCGAGTATGTTCGGTGGCGGTCGGCTAAAACTTTTTTTTTGGCCTTTTATCTCAATAAGTGTCAATGTTTTAACTCTTCACTTTATATCATGATATTTTTAATTTTTAATTTTAATAAATTTATATGTTTTAGTTTCTCACTTATACAAATTGAAAAAAATAACATTTACTTAATGTCAGGTTATAACATTTTATTAGTTATGTTAATTGATTGTTAACTCTGTTAATTAACTGTTAGTGTTTCATTAACATTTCATTAATAGATCTAACAAATAAAATTGAATTTAAATCTCATATTTTTTATAACGAAATGCTAACGGATGTTAACAATCAATTAACAAAACTAACAATCAACTAACAGAACTAACAATCAATTAATATAACCAACAGAATATTATAACTTAATGTTAAGTAAAGTCTATTTTTTTTAATTCATATAAGTGGAACTAAAAGTGTCATATTATATTATAAGGTAAAAAGCTAAAACTTATAAATTTATTAAGGTAAAAAATTAAAAGTGTTATAATAAAAAATTAAAACTTACAAACTTATTAAAATAAAAAATTAAAAATAGGTTTTTGTCGGTGGTGGTCCTGGCAAATTGGGCCGCTAAAGTGTAAGAGTGTTTTACGGAAACAAGTTTCCCTTCTTTGGGCTCACTAATCATTCCCCTTCTGTTGAATTGTGTTTGTTGTTGTATACGGATTTATGTTCTCACTTCTCAGATATCTTATATATGAAAATTTTCCTTTGCAGATCAATATATATATATATATATATGAGCTGAAATTTTTTTTTTGTTTAGACCATTCGGTATTTAGAAGTCCACTGGATCATTGATTAATTCGGATTCAACCAGTGTTTTGAAACCTGGACCAGATTAACTGGTCAAACCGGTCGAACCGTCACCCGGTCATGAAAACGGACCGAGTGCATACCCAGAACCGGTGAGGCGATCCAACCGCCCAAACCCGTCAGACCCCCCAGACCCAGTAAACCCGGCGGGCCAAATTCAAATATGCCATTTTCAATTTTTTCAACCATTTTTTAATTCAATATTTATTTTACACCTTTTTTTTTTGTTTGATACCCCTTTTACCCTCCTCTACACATTACAATTACATGGTAAAATTCTTAAAAAAAAACACAATTTGAATGCAAATCGGTAAAATCACTAAATTAGATCAAGAACCCTAAGCCTTCTTCAGTTCTTCTTCGACTCGTCTCCTCCCCCATCTCCAGTTTACACTGTAGTTCTCCTCCAGTTCTCTAAACTCTAATCCATTGATTCTTCGATTCCAAACAAATTGCAAAGAAGAAACCCAAAACAACGATTCCTTATCTCTTCCGTCCAGATTCAGAATCACACTTCTTCTGTTCTTCATCAGATCTTCATCTTGTCACCATCGCCGAGGTCGTTCTCCCTCTCGATCGGTCGATCCTCATACTTCTTTTGTTCTACATCAGATTTTCATCTTCTCACCGAGGTCGTTCTCTCTCTGGATCCTCTTCGACCTGGGAATTTTTCTTCTCATGAGAGTAATTAAGTTGAAACAATCAGGAGACAAAACAACAACAGCAATTCTTAATCATCTCATTCTCCATTTCTCTGCACTCTCACAGTCCTTCCTATATAACCTTAAACAGATCCAATTAGATGTCTACTCAACAATTACCACTTATATGGCCAAAAACAATCTCAA